GACGACCCATGACCCCAGCCAGCCTGTCTTCTTCCTCACGCCACTAGTGCCGCCGCCTGCCACCCCGCGCCGCCGCGCACCGCCTATTCCGACCAACCTCCTCTGATCATGGAATTTTTCACATCAACGCGAAGCTCTCCTCGACACCGACGACATATCCGACCATCAAGAAAAAATTTCGGCGAGAAGGCTTCTGATTTTCCAGCCAAAGCTCGTATCTACATTTCTCTTCAACCTTCAAATCCAAATTGACGGTGACTCACTTGGAGTTATGGAAATCCGGAAGCACTCCCGGACTCCTCTCGCCGAGGCGCACCTTTTTCCAGCCACAGTCGCCAGATCCAGCGAACTTTTCTGACGACCATTTTTTCCGGCGATTGAGCACCCACCTAGCTCCCGATTAGTTCTTTTCGAGCTTTTCATGTTCCTTACCATCACTTCTTCATGTTTGGTACATTTTTCGGTGACCGGAGCTCTACCCTTCATCTATTTCTCTTTACGACCTCCGGCACCCATTTTCTCTGCATTATCCAAGGTACATCGGCTTCACCTATATTTGCATTTCAATTTTTATCGAGTCTTGATCACTACTCTTGTCGGAGTAGTCATGGTGGGTGATTGGAGTTGGACTTGTGCATGATAGGCACGTCTTGTCGGGCGTGCCAATTTTTGTGTTGTTGTTCTCGGATTTTAGAGTTTGTAGATTACTACATACGGCAAGTGCCGGTAATTGATTCGCGTTGCACCAAAAAGGAATTGATTGTGTCGTTATGGCGAGTATCATTGAGGGCCTCGAGGCCCAATTTTTGAGCTTTCATGCTTACGTCCGTCTTCGTCGAGTTTGTGGATTCATGGCTACTATCCCTCCGAGATGCATACATGCGGTCTTTATTCATGAGTTCAATGTACAATGGTTTGAATGGTTTCATTTTTAGCTTGAGGGCCTTCGTCTAATCTTCTCTATTCCCACCGGACGAACACCACTAGACACACGGTGGTGCACCATCGTGTTGAGTACGCATTTTCTTTTCCTTATTTTCTTTCTCTCTGAGTTGTTTCTTGTGTGTTTTTGTGTTCTTTTTATTTTTGTATGTTCGTTTATTTTGTTCCATATCGTTTATCGCATGAGATTGTGTGATTATGTGCTCAGTCCTATGCTTTTTTTTTGTCAAGCAATGAGGACATTGCTTTGTTTTAAGTGTGGGGGAGAGATTTCGTGATTATGCATGTTTAGGCAATATCTCTTTCATTTTTTGTGCTTTATTTTTCGTATTTTTTGTGTCGTGGACCGGGTTTTGCTTTGATTCTTGTTTGTTTTTTGTTTCAATTCCCCTTCATGATTCTTGATGTGAGTCCAAGGGCCCAAAATGGTTAAGTGGTGAGTTAAGTATGTTGATTGGCGTCATTGTTAATTTTCGTGCTTTACGAACTTGATGATTTGGATGATACCCTTGAATTGAATCATAATTTGTTAACGTAGGAACCCGCATGTGAATTCACGGAATTGTTTTGTCTCTTGATTGTTCTCGATTGATTGACTTGAAATATGCTTACCTTATGCTTGATTATCATTGTAAATGTGTTATGCTATTCATTCGTAGTGCATCTCGATCCATTATGTGTTTATATGATTACACTCATGATGTACTCTTGTGCCTCTCCATTCAAAAAAAAAAAATTGGGAATAAAATGTGAGTTCGCGAGGACGTACGGATTAGGCTCTTCTTATCACGAGCCACCTCGTGGAATGGGATAATAAGCCCGGGAAACTGGTCTAAGGAACTCGAGGAGATCCCTCGAGGTTAAACCTAGATAAGCATTGTCTAGAAAATCTCGTTTGGGAAAAGAAGCTCACATAAAAAAATAATAAAAAAATGGAAGCAAAAGCAAACAAACAAAAGAATGAGAATTGGCTTATTGGTTCGTGTGTATCGTATCTTACATGTTTAGTAGCCGCATTTAGAGTTTTGCACGTGTATGTAGAAAAATGAAGCTTAAATCGAGAAAATCATGTGTAGGATGACTTGGGATAGGTTTTTGTTTTGTATGGATTCATTTTGTGGGGAACATGTTTTTGAATTTGAGTTTGATTCTATGGATTATCGGATGAAAACGAGAGTCTCATTTTCGCATGATTGTTAACCTTGGACCATTCGATGTTTCTTTCGAACTACTTACTATTTTGTTTGCTTGAGGACAAGCAAAAGGCTAAGTGTGGGGGAGTTGTTTATTGTGTTTTCGTGCTTTTTTTCATGTGTTTTTTGTGCCTTAGGTGAGTCGTTTTTAGGTTCATTTTAGTGTCAAATGGTCCATTTTGTCGTGTTTTAGGTGTTTTCATTCTCGTATGTTTATTTGTATTTTTGTCGTATTTTCTTGCGTATTTTTGGTGTTATTTAGGTCCACATCGCAATTTTGGGAATATGTGTCGTTCGTGCTATTTTCGAGCCACTTGACCGAACCAACATCGAGCCACCTGAGCCACTTATTCGAGCCGCGAGTCTAACCTTAAGACGGCCCGGCCACATCCTTGCACTCGCCGCGAGATGGCTTTAGGGACCGGCGAGAAGGCCGAGCTGCACAAGTCCGCGCCTAAACACTCGCTGCCAACACGGTTCCGCGACCTGCCAGATGAGAGGCGTCCGCATTGTCCTAGCGAAGACCATCCGCGCTCGTCCATACTCGCAGCGAAAGAAGATCGGCGGCCTGCGATGCAGCTCGCGCACGACCCCCAGGCATGGCACTTGCTGCGAACGATGTTTCACGCCGCGCCAAGCGCAATCCCAAGGCGGCCAAGGCACGAACTCTCAGCGAACATCTTTTGGCGGCCTGCGAACGTGCATTTTCAGTTGTTTTTCATGAACAAACTCGCTGCGAAGTTGATTTCGAGACCTGCGAGCTGCGACATCAAATGGTTTTCTTATGGAGTGCACCTAGTGCGTGTTTTTAGATTGCACTATAAATACATTTTGGTCCTTTGTATTTGAACTATCTAGATTTCATTTGCCACTTTTCCTCTTTAAGAATTTCTCCCTTCTTTTTAGTTTTCTCTGTATTTTCTCCCTTGGAGCTTTACGTCGTCATTTTTCGGCGACTTTCTGGCGATCTCGTTTTTTGTCCAAGTTTCGAACTTTTGAATCTGATGTTTATCTAGCATGCAATAGAAGGTTGGGTATTTACTTTTATAGTTCATTACTTCGATTTTTGCCTCGTTTTTACTTATGATGATTATCAAGGTGAATGTGAATGTTTGTTGGATGATGGATGGGAAGTTTGGACTTGATAATTTTTATTGCTTGCTTTAGTAGGGATTAATTACTTGCCTATCTAGATTAAAGGCTAAGACTCTATTTAGAGCTTAATTACTTAGGTTAGAAGGTTAGGGTTAGTGACCTAGTGCTTAGAGCTTGCAAATTTCTCTTCGTTGATTTCGTTTGGTTTCGATGGTATAGAGACTCTGATAGTGTTAATTGCTATATTCTCTCGTTTGCTTGTTGCTTTCAATTCCTAGTGCAATTAGTGTTAATTCGTCACCAATCCAATTGATTAGCATGTTTATCTTTTATTTTCTCGTTTGTGAGATTTAGACAATTGAGTAGTGAACAAAGCTCCGAACCATCTTCCTTTGAGAACTACTCGAGGTTGGGTAGCTCGGTTACCATCTACCCACAAAATACTACAAAACGATGACCCGAGTCCGGGTAGCTCAGTTACCATCTACTCATAAATTACTACTCAACAACAATATAATCGCAGCATGAATATAAATCACAACATCTACCTCCTACAGTGCCCTACGTCATGTGTACACACTTTTACTGTCGGAAACACCATCGACGGGAGTCAAACCGTCGGCAACAACCATCGACGGGAAACACTCTCATTAGGCAAAAATAGGAGAATCGTCGACAACATCCATCGACAGGAGAACCCTCTCATAGATCAATGGTTCACACACATACATTGATTATAGAATCTATAAATTATAAGGAATAAAATCATAGTAAATTAAGAACACCCACCTCAGTTCGGAAATGAGAATATGCAAAAGTTGTTGTAGGTTCGTAGGCTCGACTCCTTAGAATCCTACATTTAAGAAAGATAATTTTTCATAAATAAATTAACTCGATTACTCGCTCGGAAATTTATTGCAATTTCTCACTTAATAAAAAATTAATGATTAAGGAGTATATAAAATTTTTAGTGGAACTTGATACTCTCGTTGTAAGGAAAAAGGCTCATAAAATATTTTAAAAATGTTAAAATTTCAGTTCGAGAAGGGTTCAAGGGTTCGCGCGGACTGGTGTCGGCTCAGTCTGACCGCTGGCTGCGGCTGTTGGTGGTTCGCCTGGGCGCTGCTGGGCTACTGCTGGCGCTGAGGCGCGCACACGGGTCGGCAGGTGCATCCAACATAAAGAAAAAAAAAATTAAACGAACTAGAACACTCTCTACTATCTAACACCTAAACAAAAACATTGAGTCGAAATTATTAGATGCCTTCACAATGGTCATCATATAGTAAACTTCATGCCTTCAATGCCATGACCAATATGATGGAAATAGGCGACCCAGAATTACAAATTCGCTCCTTCATATACACCGCTGACCTAACAAGGAGTTTATTTAAATATGTACACTCTCATTAGTAAAATTAGCTTTAATAAAGGTAACAAATTTATCAACAATGCACTTACGTGTGAATACTTACATTAGATTTTCTCAAAGCGTTACGAACACAATGGTTCAAATTTGTCCTAATAAACTACTATAACACCCCAACCAAGGAGAAAACTAAAAAAGAAGTCGGTAGATAAGTATTTGTAACCATAAAAGGCAACTAAATATTTATTTTATTATGGTTTCTGGCCGAACCACAACATTCAGGATACAACAGAACGGATGCCGGTTATATTGACGGACCAATCACATTACTAATTTTCTGGCATCTACTTTACCATTAAGAAACACATAACCACAAGGAGCACACTAATACTATTCCTTAATTAGATGACCAAATTCAAATACAAGTAATGCCAAGCAATCGGTAGCTGCAAAAGCAAGCCCTTTGGGATTCTGAGGTTTCCGAGTTGAGTTTCCTCCTCCACCACTCGGGAGAGCTCCATCACAGGTGGATATAGACGCAAAACCTCAAGCAGTATCATGTTTAGCTATACAAACAAAATAAGTAATAATGATGATACAAATAATAAAGATTATGAACAAAAAAACAAATAAAAATTGATTACTCACAATTTTGAGCTCGTTCAAATGATGGGTGAGGGTCTTGTTGTGGCCCAGTTGTGGTGAATGGCAAGTGTGATCATGGTCCAGGTTAGGAGATTAGAGGTCGTGTCGAAGCCTGCAAAGTAGAACAACTTGATCTGTGCAATGGCCTCCTCCATTATCTTCTTGCGCTTGCTGTTGCTTCCTCTCCAGTTCGTACAGGTCGGACCCCTCATTGGACCCACCTGATGAAGACCTTCTGTCCCTCAGCCGCTGCTCGATCATTTGAGTAAACGATCGACGAACTTCCTTTTCCATTTTCTTGGCTCTCCTTTTACTTTCAGAGGGGAAGTACCTGTTGATGGAGTTGTGTTTATATTTTTAAATAACGTTTATATACAATAAACCTCCGGGCCGTCTTTTCTCCTTCTGTTTTTCTCTCCATTTTCTAGCTTCATGTCTCCCCCCGACATCTTCACCGGCCTCGCCGGCAGCTGCCACGGCCAACCTCTCCTTGCCGGATTTGGCCGATTTCTTTGCTCAACCAGATTTCGCACGCGCTTTGCATAACTTCTTGATAGGTAGATCTACCTTGTTGGAAGAAGGGGAAATCCCCGCCATAGCCCCCCTCAGCGACCAAGGCCGACCCCGGCTCGCTCACCGCCGGCAAGGACCTGTCGTCATCTTCCCGTCAAATTGGGAGTTCGTCTAGGAAGCTTGCCCCGACCTCAGCCACTTTGAACATTGCTCCGACCTCTCCCAGCCTCACCGTCGCCGACATTGGACCTCCTCCGGCGCCTCTGTCTCAGCCGGAAAACCTTCTGTTTGGCTTCCTGCTAGTGGCGTGTTCAGACCTCTACCTGACGGTCAACTCAAGGACCAACCCAAAACACTAAGTTAGCGGCGAACCATTAAACCCTATCCCTCAGCTCAAAATTGACGTGGCACCCTGCCATTTGGACAGCCCATTAAACAATAACCGAGTTGGGCCACTCCCCAGGCCTAAATGAGTACCCTCCCTTAACCAACATAATATTAGGCCCTCACCCAAACACTACTCCAAGCCCAACTCACCCAAACACTACCACACAACCCAATCTGAACCCGTCTCTCACCCCTCCCTCCCATCTGCAGCGACCCCGCCGACTATCTCAATTTGCCAGCGCCCATCGCCACTGTTCCGGCGCCTGCCGGCGAAATCCTCACCGTAACTGGAGCCGGCCACCCCCAGGTCTCCGGAATCCTCCATTCGCAAGCCGGAATTCTTGGCCGAGGCCCTACCTTGCCTGCGGGCCCCTCGTTACCGGCGGTCGTCAAGACGGTTCAACTCCCCATTGCTCCGACGACAGGACAGCCCCTAATGAGAAACGTTTTGGCCCCCTCCATTCCGACTACCTCGACGGCACCTCCGGCCTTGCCCCCGCCTGCCCCGATCATTCCGGGATGTGATTTCCGGCAATCCCGTCGGCAAGTCGGGACACCAGGGACTATAGCTTGAGTCTTTCTGGGACAAACAACTGGGAACTATCACACGATCCGAGGCAGGAAGGCTTACGGTTAGTATCCCTGCGCCCGTTGTTTCTTCGTTAGTTGGATCGTTTGATAATGCACTTATTTTGAAGTTCTCCTTCTCTGTCCCCTCTCTCCGAGACTTATCTATTGGATTAGGCAAGATGGGTTTTAAGGGTAGACTCACCCCTAAGTTCCTAAATTTCAACCATTATCGTGTGTTCTTTGAGTCGAGAGAGGATTATGACGCGGTTTGGATCAAGACGTATGTGAACGTCTGTGGGTGCTCTGGACGAGTGTTCAAGTACACCCCCGACTTCTCCACATCGACTGAGTCACCCATTGTCCCAGGTGTTGTCTCCCAGGCCTTATGCCTCATCTCTTTGACCCCACTATGCTCTCTTCGATTGCCAGCTGTATTGGCAAGCTGATCCAGGTTGATGCCTCCACGGCCAACCGCTCGAGGTTATCCGTCGCATAGGTGTGCGTCGAGATAGACCTCTGTGGTGAGCTCATCGAGGAGATCGAGCTCAACTAGGGAGGAAGAATCACTGTCCAAAATGTGGTTTATGAGAGAGTTCCACCTTTTTGTACGTTCTGTGACCATGTGGGTCACGCTGCATCGGACTGCTACACCAAGGGCAACAAGCTCCGGCCGTCACTTTCCCCACGCTGCCGCGTGGCTAGACCGAGCCCCTCATCTGCTCAGGGGACCCAAAGGGGAAGGGTAAGGCCCCTGCCCGTGCGCCTGAGTCCCTGAAGGGACAAAAGGACAAGGGTAAAGCTGCCATTAAGGCCCCACACCATGTCGGGAAGGCTCCACAGCCTAACTGTCCTAAGGTAGTTGCTATGGACGGGCCAAATTTGGAGCCACGGGGTTGTTCCCTCACCAGTCCCTCTAGAGAGCCCCCGTGGCCATTCACTCCCTCTTCTCTGTCCTCGCGTCAGAGACGGAGGATGAGCCTGCTTCCACCTTCAATCCCCCAGTCAACACGAACAGTTCTCCCTTTGATGACCTTTTGGATGTCGAGACAGCCCCCAGTTAACACATATGACCAAAATAATATATTCTTTAAAAATCTTATGAACAAAAAATCTATGTGGTAGTATAGTTGACTCGACAATATTGTTAATTAATTTATAAAATATGAATAATTGATTATAATTGTTTATTGTGTTTTTGTGCTTATTTTCGTGTGTTTTATGTGCTTGAGTTTAGTATTTTTAGGTCCGTTTTAGTGTCAACCGGTCCATTTTTTCATGTTTCGTGCATTTTTATTCTCGTATAGTATTTTTGTGGTTCGGCGTACTTTTGTTGTATTTTTGCTGTTGTGTAGCTCCACAATAGTTGAGTTTGGGAAGACGAGCCATTTCTGAGATATTTTCGAGCCGTCCTATGTCCGAGCCACACGAACCATTTCCGAGCATATATATTAAGTGCGCTGTGATATCGAGTTGAGCATTCCATGATGAAGAGAGAAAGATTTGAGGAGCGTGGGTCAAAGTTTCGAGTCAATCGGAGAAGCGTGCGAGAAATTAGAGCGAATCAAGTATCAAGTCTGCCCGCGAATTTTAGGATTCGAGCCCGCGAAATACCCTTAGCCCGCGAGTCGCCCAGTGCCCGCGAGTTTTCGCCTTCGCACCCACGAAATCCAGCTGCGTTGCGAGTTTCATGATCAAGTGCTACCTTGCCCGCGAGTTCTTTCCCTTCGCGCCCGCGAATCTGCCCGCGAGCTCGCGAGTACCCTTTCCCAGCGCGCCCCGCGTGCGCGAACTTCACGGCGAGGTCGCGAGTGCCGCTCCCAGCGCACCCCGCGCGCGCGAATTCTTCCGCGAGGTCGAGAGTGCCACATTTCCTCGTGCCGCGCCCGTGCCTCCCCGCGCCCGCATCAGTGCCACTCGTGCCCGCGACCAGCGAAAATACCCGCGACCTCGAGAGTGTTTTACTTAATGTGCGTGTTTTTAGTGTGTGTTTGTGGTGTAGCTATATATAGACATTGTGCTTTGTATTTTTGGAACAACCCTCATTTCCCAACTTTTAAGTTGAGAAATCCTCTCCATTTTCTTTCTTCTCTCTCCTCTTTTTCTTTTTATGCTTTGGTTGGGAGGTTCATGACTATTTTTCCGGCGAAATTCCGGCAAATTTATTTTCATTCAAGTTTCGAGCTTTATTCACTATTTTCGTCCGAGCATGCTATGGGAGAGTAGGTACCTTGCTTAGGCCCCACTACTTCGACTTTGCCTTTCGAATTGTGTGTTTATGCTCGTTTCTTGGTTTTTCTTTATTTTTATTGCTTGCTTTTGTGTGTTAGGAATCAATACGTGCTTATCTAGTATAAAGGTCTCGACTTTGTTTAAAGCGTGATGATTTAGTGTAGAAAGCTCGTGTTAGATTACCTAGGATCACTATGCTCGCATGTTTTCTCTTGTTTTCTTTTATTTTCTTGAGTTATGGAGATTCCGTACAACCAATGCTTTGACAATTCCTTCGATTCTTGCAGTTTAATCATTTGCTCTAGATTTTTAGTGTAATTTCGTGCAAATCACCCACAATCAAGCGAGTAGAATGTTTAGGACCTTCTTTTTGGTTATGTGACTTTGACGACTAGGTAGTAAACGAAGCTCCGAACAGCCTTCCTTTGAGAACGACCCGAGTCGGGTAGCTCGGTTACCACATGCCCAAAAATACTACCAAACAATAATATTAAAGAGAAAACTGTAATTGTATATAATATAACATTAAGATATACAAATAATTGATATATTAACACATATGACCGAAAAAGTTCTATACATAATATTATGAATTTTTAAGCAAATACAAACTTTAAAAACATATGAAAGAACAATATAAAATAAAAAAAATAATATTAAATCTGAAAAATGATATTAAAAATTACTAAGTTGTAATACGTACTTATAAATATTAAAAAATAATAAATAAATATGTTATAATTAATAAAAGTAAACATAAACCTTTTCAATGTAAACGAGCAGGGTTGTTAAATGCTTGTTAATTTTTGTACTTATTAACTCTATATGTAACTTTTAGGTGATATACAATAATTATTTTTACCTTTATCCATGTAGGTTAGGAAAAAAAAAACACTTGATTATTCTAATTTTAAATTACTATTTATTTGCTATTAGCTTTTTACATATAATATATATATATATATATCATATTAAATATATAAATAATAATTATTTTAATTATTTAACATTTAATATGTAATAAATGTAACTCAATTGGGAATTTATTAGGTAATCTTGAGATAAAATATTGAGTTACTTAAAAAAATTATATAAATTAAAAAGTTCATGTGTTTAATGTATGTTATTTGAAAAATTGTAAATACAGTTACTTAATAACTACTACCTAAAATATAATGTTTAAGAAGGAATACAAAAAAAATTGGTATATTGCAATAGAAAATGCATCTATAAGATATTCTAAAGAAAATTCCAACGGATATTTCATTGGTAAAGCTTTTATTGGAAAATTTCATTAACTATTCCAACAGAGAACAAATTAAATTACATTGAAAATTTTGTGAATTAAATCATTCCAATTACTATAATTTATTATTGTTTGAATCTCTGTTGAATTTTTTTACGGATCGTATTTCAACCGTTGAAAAAACTGTCATTGAAATTATAAAAAAATTAATAGAAGTTCCATTGGAAAACTAATTGCAGTGGCGGATCCAAAATAATTTTATATTGGGCACTATATAGTTAATAGAAAAAGTATACCATCAAAATAACATAATGTCATTACAATTTATAAATTATACTTTACATAATTTGTCATGTTTCTAACTTGTAATACATTCTAACACATCAGTACAGTCACAATAAGTTAAAAAGTATTTAATAAAAAAAATGACGATTTTTCTCAATTCAACATAAGAAAATCATTGAAAGTAATATTTTTTTAAAAAAAATTATAAACAAAAAATCTATGTTGTAGTATAGCTGACTCGGCAATATAATTTATTAATTTATAAATTATGAATATATAACTAGAATTCCCCTTGCATTAGTTATAAAAGACATAAAAAATATATTTTGAAGATATAGAAAAAAATATGTTGCAAAAGAGAGATTTGAAATTGTCATCAAGATTGAAATAATATAATTAGAGGATAAAATTATAATTTTGAGATATATTATATTTTCTTTAGTTGTGATGCCGCGTTTATGTTATAACATTAATAAAGTTATGAGTTGAATTAAATTATAATTGGTTGAGTTGTGAATTAATTGATTATGTATCTTTCTTTCTTTCAATTTCATTTTTAAAATAGGAGACATGATAAAAATTATGAAAAAATGTTCCCACAAATTTTTATTAGATTCCTTACGCTATATGCTTTAGGATGGAGGGTTGTGTCGGATCTATAAAATAAACATAGATCTGCTCATGATTCCAATAAAATATTTTTGCTAGAATTAGATTCTTGTGGCATATTTTTCATACATAGATCCGAAAATTCATACTAAGAAAAAACAAAAAATGGATGTAAATATACAACTATCACCAATATTAACTATGTGAATTAAAAGGAAAAATAAACGAGTTGTATGTGAAATTTTATTCAACTAACACATAAATTTAATGAGTATGAAAATGAGTTAGTTGCTTAATATTTTTCTCAAACATTGGGAAAAATTTCTAAACCTTTTAATCTAATAATCAGTATAAAAGTATATTTTTTTATTAAATATATTATTATTATAAATATATAAATAAGTAATATTAAATTTTATTTTATCTTATGTGATTATATTAGTTGTTGTCTAATAAATAAGATATTTTGATAACAACGTCATTATATGAAACACCTACAAAAAATGATGCAATACATATAAATGTGCTAGAATTCGTTTAATAAATAAAGTATTATTTATCAATAGAAATAAAAACTAATAAAATAATAGTAATGGAATTGAAAAAAGAAAACGTCTGAATTTTCTTAGACAAATATGAATACCAATATTTAGAAACAAAAAATCTTTTAAAAATAATACTTTATTTGTTGCTAGCGTTTAAATATATGGATTCTATAAGAAATTGGATCTAATAAATAATGATCCTATATTATCAATTTTTAATTTTAAATAATTAAAAATTTAAAACTTTATAATACGTAATGTAGATTTTAATAATGATTTCGTAATAATAACGTTCAAATATGACTAAGAGTCATAAAATAGAATTTTAATTCTTCTCATCTCAAATATTTTAACAAATGATATGTTTCTTTATGGTGACTCATTATTTTGTTTTGTTTGATTTTGTCATTGGTGAAGAATCAAGAAAGGAACTTTATCTCGAGTTTTTTTGAGTATTATGTATGATGCATAAAGTTGGACGATAAAAACATTAAAAAGTTATTGGACACATAAATATTACAAATCCAAACGAATGTGAAAAGATATGAAGATAAATAATTCTAAAATCATTGCAAGAACTAGATGGTCAATGATTTGCAAATAATAAATTATATAGTTCGTCTATCTTCCAAATAAATGACATTGAAAATGAAACGTTGGAGCCTGATCAAAACATTTTTGAATGTTTGAATGAAGTTGACACTTCTTATAGGAATATTTATAAATTCATTGGTGTATTGTGCTTGAACATATGTGCAATTATTTTATAGTATGAACTTTTAGTTAATGTGTGATGATTTAAAAAAAAAAAAACCTCGGGAAAAGTACATGTAATAGATATTTTGAATAGTCAACTTTTATTTAAAGATGAAATTCATTCCCTTCCGTAGGGAGATACATCCATGGGGTAGGTATCAATAATTTGTCGATATATATAGAGAGAGTAATTTAATAGTTTATACAATGATAAAAAATAATCAACAATTTTAATGACACGATTTATTATTTTGCAGATATATTCATGCATGGTTAATAGAAATATAAAGATAATACAACCATGAAGTTTCACTATATGTTTGGTTAGATTATTTCTTAAGTGTTTGAATAAAGTAGACGTTTTGCCAAATGAATTAAGATGAATTTTGCAATACTATTGAATCAAAAATGTTTCTTATGAGGACGTCAAAACCAAAATGAAAGAGAACGCTATCGAATCATCTTACATAAACAAATAAAAGAACTAATGCATGTATAATATATATTAGTCATTATTTAGTTATTAGTGTTTTTGTTGGGGTTGTAATATGTTATTTAATTATTTTTATATTAGGACATCGTTAAGTTATTTTAGAAAAAATAATTTGTTTCTATATTTTGTTTCATTAATTTGTTCTACATTTTGTTTCATTCTTGCAAGGATATATTTAATAAATTTATTTATTTTACAAAACTTAATCGACAAAAAACGAATACATTATGAGCTCATTTGTTCTATGTTTTATTTTATTTTTGCAACGATATTTTTAATAAATTAATTAATTTATTTTACTAAACTTAATTGGGAAAAAACATTCGTCATCACGTGCATCGCACGTGCACTTTACTAGTAGACAAAATAGAAGGAGACTAAAATTGATGCTCGGCCCAAATGATATGCTTGTCTTGTTATAACAAAAACCAAAAGATTGTTTGATTCTGACCCTAAATATATATAAGATCATTGGACATGAACATATAACGTAAGATAAATGATATGTGTGTCTTTTTAAATGACAACAATGATAAAAACTTATGTGTTTTTTGTATGATCATTTGACATGGACATTTGACCTAAAATAAATGATATGTGTGTCTTGTTATAACAAACATCAAAAGCTTATTTTATTTTGCCCATAAATAAAAAATCTTTTCACAAGGACATATAACTGATAGTGCGACTTGTTATAACAAAATCGATACTTACTGAATTTTACATGATTTTTTACCAGCAATATTTCACATAGACTAAGTATTTTGTACTTATTTTTTTAGGGTTTCGTCACCTATCACAAAATTCCACACTACAACATATTAAGGGTCCTATAGTTATCTCATTCTTACAAAAAATAAAAGTTCATGACAAATGATTTTATATTTTAGACTTTTAGTCATCTCATTTTATTTTTAAAAAAAATGAGCTAAATGGAAAGAATCATTTAAATAGTCTTGAGTTATCTTATCCCTACAAAAAGTAAATAAAAAGAATCACTATATGGGGCAAAGCATATGGAGAGCCCTCAACCAAACGCAAATATAAATTAGACAAAAAATTTTAAGAATGTTGAAATTTGTGATAGTTCCAGTGTTGAGCAATTCATCAACTGGGCTTGGGTGAGGCCGAAGAGGATCGAGAGGCTATTCAGAAAACAGGGCATGAAAGGCACTACATACAAGCCTTTGTTAGCGGACATGAAAGAAGTTGATGAACTCTACAAGAAAGCTTTCGCCAAACCCATCGACTTTGCTGATGATATCGTGCCTTGTCTCATGCCCAACATTCTCGACACCTTTAGGCCGTGTTTGGATACAAATAAACTAAATTTTTACTGATTTTTATGCTTAACCATGTTTGATTATAAAAGAGATAGGGAGTTGGTGTTATATAAGTTGAGGCAATAGTGAGTTGGTGTTATATATTCATTTTGATTGGGTTTGCCTAGTCCTAATTGTTTTTTATGTCTTGTCTTATTTCTCTCTTATATAGGTGATTTTTTTTAATTATTTATTTTGATGGATTTCATTTGTGCGAGTGTACACCCATATGTACTATATTATGCACATATATATAGCATTACACTATTACCAACATTTGTTACTTCAATTTTAATTTATAAGGACTCTGCATTTTATTTAATTTTGCCTCCACACCCCGTGTCATGTGTTGGAGTACGTATATTTTACTTAGGTTTATGCTTGAGTGATTGTTAAGTATATAAATAATAATTCAAATCATTGATGAAACAATTAATAAAACGCCAATCACATAAATCATTCGAACCCAAAATTTGTCAGATAAAAAAACTATTTACAGAATAATAACTAGTGGACAGTGGTTAAAATGTATGGTAAATAGGCAGGCTATAGTGATATTATTGGATTAATCTTAATACTATATATATTTGATAATATCTTGATGTAGGGAATTTTTCGTTCAACTGGATGGGGCCTAGACCACGTGTTTACTATATATACTTGATTATTCAAGTACGAAAATTTAAATGTATAGTTTGTATTGTGCTTCATTTTGGCTACTTGGTATGTATTTTTTTTTCTTTTTTTTTTTTGTAAGTTCTTAAGTTTATAGAAACAAATATTTATTTGTTCCTCTTGAAGATGTAATAGTTTGGTTGAATCAAATAGATTAGTAAATTAAATATTTCAGCATCATTTTATTACGTGACTTTCATTTGAGTTGGATCACAAAATTATTGAAATAATTTTATTGCTTTAATCACATTTGGAACAAATATATATGACTCCAAATGTCTATAGAACCCAAGAACTGCAACAATTTTATGTTTCAATTAACCTGATCAATAGGCACAACAATATTGGCACAACATGGATTGTAGTTTATTAGTAAAAATCATGGAACCATTGGACAAGAAATAGGCACGACAAAAATCGTGTCTATTACTTTTACATTTATAGCAACGACTTAAGTGTGCCAATAGATTTATAGACACACGTCAATTGGCACGACTTTTTTGCAACGACATTTCATTTTAATGGTTATAGGCACAATATTCAGTTGTTCCTACTAAGGATGTTTCCCATGATGCAATCATGTGCGTTAGCATCTCTCTCTCTCTTCTTTAATTCTTCTTTTAGGAGCACAAAATGTTCACAAGATGAAATATTGCCCACACAAGCATTAGCTTATGTAGAAAGAACCAATACAATACCTTCTATGGTCCCACTCTTCTCTAGAAACAGAATCACGGGTCTTTTACTTTTTTATTAGAAACAGAATCACGGGTCTCTTACAATTTTGTATTATTACTTTTATTCAGCAATTGTTGGAGTAAGCTAAAGGCACATGTTGAACATGCGTCATGCATGCATGATATGCACAAATTATTAAGTGTGCACCTAATTTTTGTTGCCCGTTTTTATCGTTTCCTTGAGCTTTATTTTTAATATATCTTTCTTGTGTACAGCTTATCCATATTTGAGACCCCATATTTTACAACAAAACATACAAACTCTGGTATTTTTCAAGAGGACAACATTTACCATTTAGTTTTGCTATTCAATATTTAAAGAAAAAAAAAAATTACTATAAGGATCACTTTATATTGGACTAAATAAGGTGATATATATTCTCAAAATCTTAATACACTAAGAAGTAAGAAGAAGTCATGGATGGCAATTTTTTCCTCAAAAATTGACTGTTTCAAATAAGATAAATTTTCAAAGGATATTAGTAAGCAAAATCTTGGACGCCCCAACACTTTGCCTATGTAAGTTATGGTATAGGTAAATCTTATTCCATTGGAATGAGTATGTAAAATATTTGAGCGTACCTAAACATATTTAAATTATGAGAAGTTATCCAATATTTTAACTTGGCGAAGATGGCTTTGTAGTGTGAGCAAGTACGATAAGTAAATTTTGATATACGTCAGGTAAAATGCAAGAACCAATTAATATTTTCACTACAAGAAAATTGTTATATTCCAACGGAATGAAAATCCTATGGTAATATATATTCCAATGGAAATTCAAACGAATATTCCAATGGTATAGCTTCCATTGGAATCATTCCAACGAAAATATTCCGTTGGAATGTATTTTTCATTGGAATTTTAGATGGAATTTGTTGATTCCAACGGCTATATTTCCAATGGCTTTTTACTGTAGGAATTTCTGTTAGAATTTTTATTTTCACAACCGTTGGAATCGTTAAAATCCAACGGAAATTTCAATGGAAAACTCACCCAACGGAATATTTTTGTTGAAATTTCCGTTGGAATAATTCCAACGGAAATAATAGCATTGAAATATCCATTGGAATTGCCGTTGAAATTCTGTTGGAGTATATTTCCGTTGGAACTTCATCATTTTCTTGTAGTGTTTGACCTAGATAGGAATATTTTACTCAACTGAATTACTTTAGTATGTAAAGATATTTCATAATTTACTTGGCCGAAATTTATGTTATTAGTATGTTTTGAGAATTCCATCAGTGATCGTATATGATTGGTAAGTTATTATAAGGAAGAAATGATGCAGAATTAGAATTTATGAATGAAAGATCAAACATGCACTATGTTGTAATTTTTGGAATGTAATCAAATGATAATATTTTATTAATTTTAAAAAAAAAATAAAGAAAATATTATTAATGTAGGGTGGCTTAAATACATAAAATTGTCCTTATAACTATTGAGAAATACTGATATTTAGACCTATACAAAGCTAAACCCTAGGGTTACCAAACAGATCAACGGTCATCGAATGAGCAATGGTCATAAATCAATTACGTACAAGGAATCTGAGATAAGGACATGACAGCTTGCATGCTGACATGCAACGACGAAAAAGGTTAAAGTGAACCGTGAGTAAAATGAAAGTAAACTCAGGAGAATCATTTATTTATCTAAAAAAAAACAAAAATATGTGGAAAAAAAAATGTAGAAAAAAGTAAAACAGCCGGATTCTGAAAATCCGTGTTTTACCGAAAAACGGATTTTCAGAATCCGTTTTCACTTAATCCCGAAATAAAAACGGATTTCGAAAATTCGTTTTCTTTTAATTAAGTGAGTTTTTCTTTAATTAAGTGATTAACCTTAATTAATTCTCATGAAACCGGATTAGTAAAATCCGTTTTTAGAAAACGGATTATGAAAATCCGTTTTCACATCGAACACGGATTTTCATAATCCGTTTTTATTATTTGATATTTTTTTTTATTTTTTTATAAAAACGGATTCTTAGAATCCGTTTTTATGTATTTATTTTTTTTTGAATTTTTTTAAGGCTGGATTATGTTCACGAACTCATTTATCAGCGATCGCGTTGCGCTTATTTTAACTGAATTTTTATTCTTATCCTTCAATATTAAGATTTTTTATAAATTTTGATTTAACATTTTGAACAAGAAATAATATCATTTTAATATCAATTCATTCGTCAAATGAAAAAATCTAACATGCATACATATATGAAACACTATATAAAAAAAGACAACCATAAGTACCGACAAAAAAAAAGTGAACCACAAAATATGTACCCAAAACCATCAAGAATAAATATCTGAAAATCCAATACAAAAAAAAAAAAAAAAAAAAAATGTCCACAAAATCACAGAATACAAAAACAAACTAACTAGGAGTAAATGATTTCCTAGACACGCGTCTTCGGGACCCTCTCCGAGGCCCCGGTTGCAAAGAAGACGATCCTGCGGTCGGTCCAGGCGTGGTTGGTTCTTCTTCTTCTTGTCCACCTAATTAATTAATTTTTGTAAAAAATCAATAATTCGACCGGACAAATAAATAAAAAGAAACAAAAAAAAAAATATATATTTGTAGTTAAATAAAAAAATCTCACCTTCTTCGTCTTCTTCATTGCCGGCGGGTTCGCGATCACGGCGTCTTCTCCCTCCACCAATCTGGGGCGCCGGTCTATGCCTCGCCCTCTGAGACTGTGTATGCTGGGGTGGGGCGTACTCATCTTGAGATAGAATTTGCTCCGACGACGCCCCTTGTGTGACCGACTGACCCCCAACAGTCAGAGAAGCGTACAGAAGTTCCTGGGCTTGCTGGAACTGTGACTGCGCTCGGGGAGGTAGCGTATCAATGTCTTCAATGTTCGTTAGCATGTTATACGCCACCTCCGTACCCGAAAACTGCAAAATAAAATTCAAATAACTATCAAATATTAAAAATAATAATAATAATAATTACTTCAATAATATTAATAATAATAATAAAAAAAATCACAAAATAGCAGACAGTTACCTGACACTTCTCCCAGTCGGCATATGGCTGAAACCCGCCGTCCTGTGAGATCGCCGCGTAGTTGGGGGTCATTGAATAGTCTCACAGTCCTACTGTGAAACCAATCAATGTACCCATCTGCCGGCTGCAGGAAGGGATCCACCGGGACATCTGGGAGGACGTTCTGATCTCTCTCTTCGGTCCAGATCCTCCCAAGATCAGCATGGAAGGCCTGTCAATCGGTGTATGCCCTCCCAGTCATGCCCTGGCCCTTGTGGCGGGTGTCCCAGTCGGCCAGACTAGTAATTAGCGGCTGTTGGTGGATGGGCTGGTGGCACCGAAACTAGCGGAGCACCCTATCAGGCTCGTGGGGTTCTGCGTGTTCCAGCAGAAGATCCACCCCTTGTACATCCAGAGATGTCGGTCTCGTGTGCACACTTCCGAGAGCCGACCCGCGTCTATGTACGTCTGATAGGGTACCCAATCGAACTGTGAAAAAAAACATTTATATAATTATTAATAAATTGACCGAGAAATAGAATTAAAAAAATAATAATTATTTACTATTATGACCTAAGAAACTTACATCAGTCTTTCTCAGGCCACTCA